AATTTCTCTTGCACATTTGCGGCACACTGTATCTGTATGGGTCTCTGGATTAATGTCAATGTGCAAGTATTTTTCAATTAATACACAGTATTCTGTTTTAGATGATCCTTGGAATAACTTTCTTCTTAAATTGCTATCCTCAGTTTTGTTTCCACACAATAAACAAATAAATTTCTTTGTTCTTGGTGTATATTTAATAAAACTAAAAAACTTTCTAGGTGTAGAAGCGGCCATACGAGTCGCCAGTTTTAGAAACTGATAACGGGAGTGTAATTGCCAGCTGAGCAAAAACAATTTAATTTTGTTAAAGGTCATAAAAATGTCTCGTAGAGCGATACATGATGACAGATTTAATAGTGAGGCTGATTAGCCCTGTGCAGGGTTTACAAGTCTCTATGTTTGATAACATTTTACTATGACAGAGAGCAGAGGACAGCAATACAAATACAAAGAATTTATAAAACGTTTTATAAAAAATAAACAATAAAAACATAGAGACTTGAGCAAGTCTACCAATGTATATGCTTTGTTAAGTGCGATTATTCATTAACTATCAGGAGAATATATTCTATTAATTATGTCGAGTTTTTATGTACAGATAACGTATATTTTACAATGAGATGCCTCATAAAATCGAACTTTCGCAAAGGCATACACTTAATAGATCTTAACCATTTTCTGAATATAGATAAAGCATATTTTTCTTAACTTGAAAAGTTCTGCTGCTTTCTTTAAATCGAGGGCGTGATTTTATTATTTTATTTTGTTTATTTACCTGAAAATTTAAGTATTTACACGCGAATTCTTAACAAAGCAGCAGCACTTTTTCAGAAAATACAAAGTATGCAAAAACAATTAATAGCTTGAATTTTTAATTTCAACTAGGGTATGTCCTTGCGATATTGAAATTTGATCATGACCTACATTCAGTACACGAACTATGCATTCATCACCAAACTTCAAACACGACCAAACTTCATACAGTACAGGGTGGGTTATAGTACGCATTGTCATCTATGCTTGAAATACATGTGAAAATTACGAACAGTAATTGGGCTCAAAAGTCAATAAGCATTAAGATGATATGAGCAGAGGAAACACTGACCTCCAAAGCATCAGAGAATGGATCAGATGCTCTGGAGGAGTGGCCATCCCTTGCCGACCGATCACTCCTATAAAAAATAACTATAGTCAACTATAGTTAACTATAGTTATAACTTTGACACTTTGAAAACTTTGATTTACTATTATAAAAGTGAAAACTTTGATTAACTTAAGCAAAAACGTTGACACTTTGAAAAACTTTGGTGAAAACTTTGACACTTTGATAAACTTTGGCAAAAAGTTTGACACTTCGATAAACTAAAGTTACTATGATAACTTTAAAAACTTTGAGTCACTATAGATAACAATTTCACACTTTGATTAACTAAAGTGATAACATTGAAAACTGTTTACTATAGTGATCACTTTGACACTTTGATTAATTATTGTGACCACTATGAACACATTCATTTACTAGTGTAAACACTTTAAAAAGTTTGTTTTACTATAGTTATAAATTTGACACTTTGATTAACTATAGTAATTAAGTTGATCTTGAGTCCATATTGTTTTTAATCCAAATATCTTAACAATGTCAATACATTTTTAACTTCAATTTTTTTTCGTTTAGGTACGCCCTCAGTTTGCTCCTTGTCATGTTTGAAAAAAGAAAAAAAATATCAAAACTCATGCTAAAAGAATTTATGTAAGAAAAGAAAAAAAGAAAATAAATCAATTTATGGAATCATAATATCTTCATGCTTAATACAAATTTAAGTCTTAGTAAAGCTGAAACACTTTTCAATTTGTCATTGTTCCTACTCATTAAGGTTGTACTTATATGAACATATTTCAAAAAGAGTTTTATTATCATCACTACTGAAGAAAGTACAGATATAAGGAAAAAACACTTTAATGGATAAATTGACTAAAAAAATCTTATGTCTTCTTATATCAGATTTTGTGAAAGGTTTATTTTTCATTTTCGGAAGTATATATCTACCCACTAAAGTGTATTTACTTCCGAAATTCTTTAATGACTTCCTTCTTAAAGGAAACGTGCTTTTTGAGGTTTCATGCAAGTTACTTGTAATTTGTTTTTAAAATTGCGTGCATCTAAACTTTTGTTTGCCATACACTCTGGATATTTTTTTATTATTGCTTGTTTCGGTTTTAGTGATATAAAGCAAATACCTTTATCGCCATCATTTTCTCTAATTCAAATAGTTAGACACGTTTGATATATGTACAAAAATACCTTGTATTTACATTATTTAACATACACTCAAAAGCAAATTAATTAACTGGTAGATTTCTCTTTCTCTGTCATAAAACATAATCGTAAAAAATCTTCAAGAAGTCATTTATCTAGGCGGTCATTTTCTTTACGCATGTTATGCAGACATGGGTAATGCCACTTTCTCCACAGGCAAAACGGTCTTTCTTCGACGTCGAATAATGATCGAGTTACATTTTTCGGCGATGAGAAAGGCCGCTGGTAATTAATTTACAGGAGTCATAATTTGTCTTTACACGCCATTTAATTTTTGCAATACCTCTTTAAGCTGAAAAATAAAATTAATTGTATTATCACATGTACAATGTTGCATATTTTTTGAAAAAATTAAAAATTCAATATTGCAGTGCATTGATTTTTTTTCATCATGGAAAAGATACATAATCAAAAAAGTTTCTATATGAAAAGGAATCAATTTTTATTCCGAATATGATGGCTATTTCTCAGACAATTATATATGTGTTAATGTGTTGATTGACAAACGTACATATAAGATATGTTTTATCTTCTAATTTCTAAGGCAAGACAATTGTCACTCCAGGGATTTTAACAACTGTTCTTTTGGAGTTTCCAAGAACAAAATCAGAAACAACCACAAGTTCTCCAGATGAAGACCGTGCATTAACAACAGGTAGCATACGCAGGTTTTAGGTTTATTCTTCCTGTGAGAAAAAAATGAGATGTGTTAAAACTGACTTAAACTCCAACAAATCCATTATCGATGTACATACATGTACTTTTACTTATTAGGTTGTTCACTGACTGTGTACACGATTATTGCAAGGATAAAAGAAAAGCCGCGGACATTATTCTCCAATAAATCAAGAATGTCATCAAAAACCTATCAGATCAGAAACAAATCTGAACAATTCAAATGCATGTTTGGCTGTAGAATGAACAAAATTTGTTTAGACCGCATCGATGTGTCGTCTTTTGCAGTATTAACACTGTAAATTGCATAAAGTTGCTGATGAATGTTTTTTTTTTCATTAAGCGTGGCTATTTCAGGGACGTCCCAACACATTTAAACAACTTGATTTTAGTCCCAATATAGTAGTAAAACAAAAACATGATTATGTTATTGTATATTCATTTTAACTGATCAATACATATTACAAACAAATTTGTAATTTAAAAAGGTTTTTTTTAAGTTACGAAAGCTCAATTATCTGAATTCCATACACGGGTAAGCAAACAAATTTTACCTCTGGTGTTTAATGGAACAGCGTAGTCGAGACATGGTGACCTTATTCGTTTCTCTAAATAGAAACGATCAGTCGTATTTTAGCGATTTTAGTAGACAAGGTAGAATAGAAGAAAATCCTTGTCGTCGTGAATGATGCAGAATAACCTTCTCGCTTTCAAAATGTTGTTTGAAATATAAAATCCTCGGCTAACGCTTCGGCTTTAATTTTATCTTTCAATCAACATTTCTCGACCTCGGGGGTTATTCTGCAATATTCACGAAAATGCGGACTTTCTCTCTTAATTATAATTGGCAAATCAATCACTGTACAAAAATATTATTGGTAAACCGATCATTTAGATGTGGAAGCTAAGCACTCAGAAAGAAAATTAATTTGAGATATGTGGGGTAAAGTACTTGAAGAATAAAACGATTTGGACTTCCATATCTCTTTTACATATCAATGGTATTCGAAAAATATGTGTTGGGGGACCTCATGCAGAAGTTCACCTGTTTATATTTTTCAAAGATCAAAGTTTGAGGGAAATAAAACAAGATTCATAATTCTCGATTTAACTCAGACGAACATTTTGGCCCTTGTGACTTGATTATACATATGATTCTAATTCTTTTAAAATACCCATCCTAAACCCCAGCCCATAAAAAAGAAAAAAAAACAAATAACATAATAAAATGTACAAGAGTTATTATTTTACCGTGGTCATTTTTTTTACGTGGGGTATGCAGATATGTGTATAATGCCACTTTTTCTACAGTGAAAAGGGTATTTTTGACGTCGTGAGGTCGAATTAAAAAAAAAACCCTCGGAATTTATTTTACAAAGGTCTTAATTCGTCTTTAAACCGTTTTATTTTTGCAATACCTCTTTACGCTGAAAAACGTAAAGTAAACCTTATTAACAATACTCTTGGGATTTTGTTTTAAAAATTGAAAATTCCATATTGCAGTGCAATGTTTTTTTTTCTATCATTGAAAAGATACATCACCAAGAAGATATTTTCTGTTACAAAACGTATCATTTTTTTCATTTAGAATACGATTGTTATTCCTTAAAAATTATATATATGCAATGTGTTTATTGATACGAATCTTAAAGATTAGTTTACCTTTGAATTAAAAAGACAGGACAAGTGTACATGTATTTCCAGAGATACCAACAACTGTCTTCTCGGAGTTTCCAGACACAAAATCAGAACCACCCACGCATTCTCCGGATCACAGCAATACAGTAACAGAAGGTACATGTAGGGCAGACAGGTTTAATTTTTTTTCCCAAAAATCAAGATTTTTAAATGAGCATTAAAATTGTTTGAAAAATATCTTTTGATATATTCATATTATAAAATATCTGAAGTTGTTTTTAAAGGTAACCTATTTATTAAAAAATTTCAGTAAAAAATGTGTCTATGTTGGTGAATTTGAGGAGATCATGATGTAGAATGGAAAAATAGATAAACTGAAAATGCAAAGTCCCATACAAACATGCCTTATGAACACCTTGAAACTTTTTAAAAAATTAAGATGTTTTAAATCGCCCATGATTTAAAAAAGATATGGTAATGGTATGTTACACTGCATAATTTAAAGATATACAGGAATATTTTGAATTCTTAAGGGAAATCCACACTGGAAGACTGTAGATTACCGGGGTTCTTATACAGAGGGACAAAACGAGTAACAAAGTCAGGGCTACTGTGTCAAAGATGGGATGAGCAGAGCCCACATGAACAGAATTATTTCACATTTAGTCTTGCACAAGAGAACTACTGTAGAAACTTTGACAGGGAAGAGCCATGGTGTTTCACTACTAATTCTAGAGTTCGTTGGGAGCTTTGTGGTGTGGAAATTTGTTGTAAGTGCATGTGCACTATATTTTAGTACATTGATATTAATGTTACAGCATTAATTATATCCGCACTTTCTAAAGAAAGTTCGAGTATATTGTTGTTACTCATGTCCGTCCGTTATAACGTTGGATTTTGACCCGGGTTGAAAATCAACGTTGAATACTGAGGCCTAAGATGTTGAATTTAGACCCTAGTCAGTTGAAAACTGAGCCGGGTCGTGGAATTCTGATCATAAAACTGGCTCTAAATTCAACAGCATAAAACACATATTTATGACTTGGTTTTCACAACTGTGATTTAATCCATGGGCGTCAGGAAGGGGGGGGGGTAAAAATGTTTAGCCCCCCTTTTTTTGCAGAGATAGACACAAATAATATAGGCATTAAACAAAGTGAAATTGGTTTAGGTTAGCCCATCTCCCCACCCACCACCCCCTTTCAACAGGCACATGACAGTGTAACAGTGTACTAAAAAAAAGAAGAGTAAGTGGTAGATATAAGTGCTAAGTAAAAAAAAGAGAAATCGGATCCTAGCACCCCCCCCCCGCCCCGAAATAGGATTTTCGGGTTTGGACTACTAGATTTGGCACTGGAAAAATTTTCTTCTTTTTTTTTGTCAATTATTTTTTTAAATTTGTTTTTTTTTCTTTTTCAATTATCCCCCCCCCGCACATTCAATTTGCTCCCAACACCAATGTAATCAATACACACTTAATTCAGTTATATTCTTAGAATGAAATATTGACAAAAATATCTTAAATTTTAAAGGGAACGTTTGGTCAGAATTTAAATTTTTAAATATAAAAATGTACCTCTCATATAAAAAGAAAAGCTGCATCTAACAACACTGCGCTGCTGAAAACAGCAGTTAAATTGGATTTTAATAGCTTAATTGGAGCAGCATGGGGAAAACCTTATCATGGCCGCTGCTGACGTAGTGCAGACAGATTAAATGCCAGATGGCTATAGAGTCAATGTGTTTATGACTGCAGAAAAATAAAATTCCTTCTTTCAGAAATAAGCTAATTTAAGCAATTGTTAATTCATAGGAATTATATTAACATCCTTTTTGACACATTAGAACTTTTAAAAGTTTTAATTAAAATCATGTAAAATAATAAAACATTTGCAGCTAAGTTTTTAATTAAAGTTAAATCCGACCAGTTTAAGGCTTCTTCTTTTATTTTCCTGAATTCTGAAACACTAGAAGCATAGGAATGTGAAATTATATTTACTTTAATATATTCAGATCCAAAATTAAACTGCACACACTTAATTGGCACATTTTCACAACTTGATTCCGACATGATAGTGTTTACACTTAGAGCCTAATAGCCTGCAATACGTCATAAAAGTGAGGATTGTGGGAAATATTTAGCAAGCGCGATAACTTTATCTCTCAACATGGCAGCCTCCAGCAGCCAGTTTACTCATAACTTTGATGTCTAATTACTTTATAATTAAGTTAAAACAAATGGCAGTAACAGGTAAAAGTCATTATTGACCATTCAATGAATGAAATATCAAAAAGTTTATTTAGACCCGACGTTTCCTTTAAAGTTTTTTTTCTCTTCCTAAATAAAAGTAATGGCCAATTGAGACCCCACAATAAATTGGTTATTAAAACATGGTACATATATAATTCATTGTACAAAAGCATAATACATACATTGCATAGCTACTTGAACATCAAAATCACAAGTAATTGCCTATTTCTAGATATAAATTATCCTTAATAACATGTGCCTTCCGTAGAATTGCGTTTTGTAGACAAAGAGAATTTTTTAACTTATTTCGAAAAATTTCTGTAAACATATTTTCTTTTTCAAATCTACATTTCATTTTATATTTATAGATGTTAAAACATATAAAAGACTATAAATTATTCAATCTCGTTGTTTTTGAATTGATTTCATTGTAAAAACCTAGAACAAGTATTTTCCATGTGACTTCAAAACCCCAAAATAAACTAATTTTTTTCCATATATTTTCACAGATTTTACATTTGTACAAGAGATGTTCATTGTCTTCAACAACCATACAATATTCACAATAAGGTTCTACATCTTTGTTCCATTTACTTACATTTAGTATAGATTATTATTCAATATGCAATTTAGTAATTTATAATTGAATTCAGCAACATTTTTTCATACATATACTTAATTTTAGCTAGATATACATTTTTCCAGATATATCTGTAACTAAGATCGAAAGTCTTTTGCCACATATTTTCATAAACTGGTCTTCGAAATTTAATGTTTACCAAAATTGAATAATAAAAGTCACATTTAAGATTTTCTAAAGTTCTTATGCTATTAACTCTACATAAAAATGACATTTTGTTTTTAATATTAACAAATTTAGCATATGTTCAATCAAAATTGTCTTTGTATTTTTCTAGTAAAAGTGGGTCAAACTCCAAGGTTTCGAGATAAAGAGGTCAAAATTCGTGGTACCCTTTAAAAGGTTTTGTCAAAAGAAATTTACCCATGAAATGTGGAAGCCATGTGTATAGCCCAATAGCACAATGCACAAAAACTTATTAGCAAGGTTAGAGTGTCTGTGGACAAAAAAAGTCATAAACACAGGAAACAAAATATGTATATATAGTCAAATGGAAAAATTTTCTACTATTATGGAGTCATAAGATCAATTGTCATTTCAGGTACAGGGAGTGGCTAGGGAGATCAGACCCCCCCCCCCCCCCCATATGGAATTTGCAGAGTTATTTAAATAACACTATTAACTGAAGAGAATAAAATGACTTTTAACATCCTCGCCCTTAGAAAACATGGACAACACCATTATTGTTTTAATTTTTTTGCTTGCTTCTCAGGAAATCTTGGGCTGGATTTTTTTGACTGAGGTGAACCCCCCCCCCCCCCCCCCCCCCCCACTTTCCGAAAAAAAAATTCCGAATGTGCGCCTCTTCTGAATGTCACGTACACAACGGGAGATAAATTGACAACGTGAAATTTGTTAACTGCGGCATGCTTTTTGTTTATTTTATGCAATCTATACTAAATCTTGTACTTACCGAATGTTATAGGTCTTGTCAACTTCATGAAATATAATCCATATAAACAAATTATTAAAACACAAATCATGTTAACTGACCACACTGCACCGTAAGCATACATATGATAAATAATACATCTCATGCGGCACACATTTGCTGATTCCGTCGCCTTCATTAAATGTATAGTATGAATCGGCCGAGGTGTGCCGAGTGGTGATATCAAAAAATATGATAATGGGTGACGCAACCCAAACGTGAATGTCGAAATTTTCAATATGATGTTCACACGTAAAACTGTTTAGTACTAGAAAAAAAATTCAAACTATCATAACAAACCATGTTTTAAAGCTACTTTGCCATCTAGGTCTATTTTTAAAAAATGTGAGAGAGATAGGGTATGTGTGTGTTGTCGGGAGGGGGGATAAGCATTGACAAATTAATTGGGTTGTATTTTCAATGGGTTTTTTTTTTCCTGACCAAATACTAAAAACAGTTTGCACATTTTGATACATTCATCAAAAAACGCTTTGTACTATAATATTTTAAAAGGTGAATTTAAAAGTTCCAAATTATGGGCAAAGTGTTTATCAGAATCTAGCTAATTAAGTAATTAACTTCATTAATTAAATTCTGTTATTTCAGACTGGTAATGAATTAAATATACAAAAAACATATATGAATCTCAGAAATAACATGGTCACCTGAAAATTTTATACTAAATTTGAGGAATACATGTACCGTGATAATGAAAGAATTATTTTGACTTTTTCCTTGGAAAGCCCTATATGAATGAGTGTGTATTTAGAGGAAAACACCTTAATGCGGGCGTTACTGTCTCATGACAGAATCTAGTTGTCATTTATTTTGTTTACATATTTTTTTTTCATTATCTTTATGTATTATTGTAATTTTTCTTCCTTTAAGCTTCTCAATGTCTAAACACATCGTTTGATACTGAAAAAATAGAATCTCAGTGTGTTGCTGCTGAAGAAACCGGTACTGAATTTTGCAAGTAAGTTTGGACTTTTTCCGTAAAAAAAAGTTACCCGTTCATCAAGAAAGATTTTCAATTATATAATATAAAGGCATACATAAAGGATATGGACATTTACGAGCAGTATTCAATACCAAAATCCATAAAAGAATATTAGAATAGGAGCAGAGCAAACACAGACTTCGAAAACATCAGCGGTGGGATCAGGTGCCGTGAAGGAGTGAGTTTCCCCAACCAACCGGCCACATCCGACGTGTGCTCCCGGTCATGATCGGGAAATAACGGAAATATCTGTTCTCAATTCAGTGTATAAATAATGGACTACCAGTTTGTGAAAAAATCATTACTTAATATTGGATTCCATGATAAACTTATCTGCTGGCAAGGTCATTATATCGAACATAGAAACCGTAAATGATGCCTTTAAACGAGATTGCTGATATATATTCCTGTTTCATCAACCTGTTTGTCAGTAGTTTACCTCGTTTTAGATCATGTTCATACATAGAACATGCTCTTGCGTATCGAATCAACTGAGAGCTATTAACTCCGTATTCAGATAATGAAGGTTTATTGCTGCATAAGTAAGGGTAGTTGACGATAGAAAAGAAGAAATCATAAATTATGTACATGTATTACTTTATGAAAGTAAAGATAATTCATTAAAAAATTGAGAGCTATTTGAAAACCAATATACAAGAAGAATCGACCATGCAAATAATCAACAAATGAATGTAGTTGGAGCTTAGTCCCTCTAAATTTATTGTCAGTAACTTGTCATACAAGAGGCAACTAATATGCAGAATTGAAATTTAAAAAAAATAAGACTTCAAATAAAAAGATTTTTTCTCATGTTTACAAACATTATATAAATTAGAAGGAAATTCGTCAAATCTATACATTTATCAAATTTTATGAATATTAAAGAACCATACATATTCTGAAAAAAAATCATTATTTTTATTTTTTCAG